ATCTCTTACAAAACTATACTTGGAACTGTTTTTATTATTCCAATTCATATTATATTCAAACAAATTATAAAAGAAAATTTTTAAAATTACACAAACTGATTTATCCTGAGTATAAAATGATCGATCATATTAATCGCTGTGGATTAGACAATCGTGAAATCAATTTAAAAAAAACAACACTGAGAGAAAATCTCTTGAATTGTAGTTTACAAAGAAATAATACATCAGGATACAATGGAATTTCTTTTGTAAAAAATAGTTGGATTTTTCAATAGAAAGAAAATAATAAACATAAAACTAAATGGTTTCAGATTACAAAAAACAGAACTAACGAACAAGCAAAACAACAATGTATTGATTTTAAATTAGCTTACGATCGAAAAACTGGAAATCGTAATAGCTACCCAGTAACTTTTTAATTATATTTCATTACTTTTCATTTAATACATTCAATAAATTATAGTTGTTATTTTAAATAAAAAATAAAACACAATCTCTGTCGAGCTTTCCAAATACAAAAAAAAGTAAATATAAACCGAAATAAACTGCAACAATATTTACAAATAACACTTCGAAACTCTAATTCTCTTTATTGTTGTGAGATTTACATATGGGATTATGAAAATTGGGTACAAAAACTTTCTGTAAATTATTTTAATATAGTGAAAAACAATCGGAATCTGGAAAAAAATATAAAATCTCAACAAATTCACAATATTTGTTGTGTATTGATTATCAAATCGAAACAATGTTCCAATATTATTGAACAACCCAAAAAAATAATTCGAAATAAATTCTTCAAATTCTTTTAGATTTGCAGCTTTATAATGGTCATGCTCATCTTCAGTGTCTATCAAAACAATTTTTAATACATCATTCAATTGCGTTAAATTCTCATTTGCTACACGAATCTGATTATTATCTGTTTCAAGTCGATCCTTTTCATTCACAAGTTCTTCAACTCTATGAATCAATTCATTTTTATCGAAATTTAAAGTGCGTATTCTTTGTTCTAATTCATAAACTTTTATTGTTAATCTGGAGTTTTCTGCAATTACTATTTCACCTCCTGTAATTCCCGGTTCCATTTTTTGTTAAAACTCATTTTTCATAACCTCAATTTATTTTTATACTATTAACGGATGTATTTTTTTTATTTATTTTATTTTAATACAAATTTGTTCATGTGCCAGGACTACAATGCTCTCTTAGAAATCCCATAATTTATTATTAAAATTAAAATATATAAACCCTAGTATTTTTCTAAGAAACTAAAAATGGTTTTTGAAATCGAGATCGGTTCAAACCTATCTCTCTGTTTGATTGAGTTGCAAAAGCTTTTTTTCTGTTTAATACTACTATATTTCGCATTTATTATGTTTTCTAATAAACGATCTTCTAATCAGTCCAAGACCGATTAGACTTTTCTTTGCGCAATTCTCTTCCAGGTTTAAAAAGTAAGAGAAATTTTCTCGAATCTTTACCTATGTAATAATCTTTACTAATTTTCACTTCCGTTTCAAAAACAATATTCTTTTAGATTTCAAAATTGGAAGTGTTCAAAGTTTTCAAACTTTGTTACAGAATCCCATAATTTATTCTTAAAATTAAAATATATATAAACTCTACTATTTTCCTTAAGGGAAACTAAAATGGTTTTTGAAATCGAGATCGGTTCAAACCTATCTTTCTGTTTGATCAAACTTACAAAAGCTTTTTCTTTCTGTTTTGCATTATACTTTATATTATACTATATATTTAAATTTTTTAATCTTGCGGTAAAGATAAATAATTAATTAGAATTCAAAAGGTGAGGGAGCTCCAAACTGTGTTTTGTTTAAGAATTCGCTTCTTTTACTCGATACTAACTCTCACTGGACTGACTATTTGTTGATCGATCGACCGACCGACCGATTTAGATGCCTAAAACCAAACCAGGATATTACGCTGTACGAAAAGGACGTAAAACAGAAATATATTTAACTTGGGATGAATGCAAAGTGCAAGTTAATAAATTCTCTAATACTATGTATAAAAAATTCCCGACTCGTACCGAAGCTCAAAATTTTATTGAAGGAAAACGTGAAGTTTCTGTAATTTTAAACGACAGTAAAATTCAAATTTGGACAGATAGATCATCATTTAATAATAGTACAACAAGAGCTCAAGCAGGTATTGAAGTATTTTGGAAGGATGATGATCCTAATAATTTAAGTGAAAGATTACCCAGATCAGAACAAACTAACAATCGTGCTGAAATTTATTCTGTGATTAGAGCTCTTGAAGTTTGTGAAAATAAAACAAAACCTTTAGAAATAATGACAGATAGTAAATATGTAATTAACATAATTGAAGATTGGGTTGAAAAATGGGAAAAAAATGGATATATGAGTTATAATAATATACCAATCAAAAATCAAGATTTAATCAAAAGGTTAAAAAAATTTATTGATAATAGAATAGGTACGGTTCGATTGATTCATATTAGAGGTTATTGGGGAAATTATGGTAATGAACAAGCTGATAGATTAGCTAAACATGGATCATTACAAGAAGTGAAAGAAAATTTTAAATTAGAAACTCATTCCAAATATATTACTGATTATTTTAACAAAAAATAAATATTTATTTATTAAAAAAAAATTGATATTTATAATTAAGATAATAAATAAAGAATTTCGAAAATGAGATATTGATTAGAAACAATTCAACTTGTTTGAATTGTTTATCATCAAATCGAGGCATTCGAAATTCTTTATACACCACACCACTCTAAAGAGAGAGGGAGTGAGAGAGAGAGACTAATAGTCAGTCCATTTTCTTTGTTTAAGACATTTGTTACAACAATTTAAGGCGAGACAGAGTCGTAGCCGTATCATCGATGTCAAAGACATCAATGATTCGGGAACCTTAAATCATCGTAAGAACAGAGTAAACAATTTTTACTAATCAGTTTTCAAACCGATTAGATATTTTGTTAGTTATTAAATATTATTTGATTATGTTGGATCTTACATTGTTCAGAGAGAACGAAAACACAAATTTTCGAAGACCGATCATGTTTCCTGATGATGAAGGTCACATAACTGAATATATTCAAATCAAGTTGAGCGATAAGCAAAATGCTCTTCTTGATAAAGAACGTTGAGAATTTCTTAAGCGACATAAATTTGTTCTCGATAAGGCTAGTAATATCATCGAAGAAACCACCAAAGAATATTTACTCGAATTACTTTATGAAGTTAAATTAGCAAACATTAAATTTAAGAATAGTTATTCATTTGATTTGCGCAAATGTAATATTGAAATTTCTTAAAATTTATTATTTTATTTATTTAACATAAAAAATAAAATAAAATTTTACAAAAATTATATTTTATAAAAAATAAAAACAAGAAAAAAAACAAAAAAAAACAAATACGAAATTATTCGGTAATTTCACTATACTTTTCAATATATTTATTATATTTGGTATTTAATCTATAATATTTATCTTTAAATTCATCACACTCTTTTTTAATATTTGAAACAGCATCATATAATTTTTGATTTCTTTTACATTTAACCAAAAGCTTAATATTTTCAAATTGTTCTTTGATAGATTCACATGATTCACACTTCATTTCTTTAACTTCTTTTCTTATTTTTAAAAGAGACGCTTGTAGTTCATGGTTTTTTTTCGATTACTTCGTCGATATTTTCTAACGTTGACATCTTTTAATAAACAAAGTTTGGTTAGTTTTATCTAGAAAACAAAAATAAAATAAAAAAAAAATATATCTCATAAGTTAAAACAAAGAGAAACAAGCCGAAAAATAAAAAAACATAAAAACATGTTGAGAACCAAGTCAACTCAAGCAGTTGATAGCAAAGAACAACTAGAAACTACTTGAGCCAAAGTGGTTAAAAAAAGTATTTTAACTAAACTAGTATTTTTTTAATCATAGATACTAGTAACAAAAGAAAAAACAGAAACTACTAACTTTTAAAAAAAAACCAGAAAATGAAAAACAACAGAAAAAACAACAAAAATTTTTTATAGATTATCAAATTACGTAAACAAAATCATTTATAATTACAATTTATTTATTTTATCACAATTTCT